TTGTGTCTTCTAGGCTGCAACAGTTCCATGATACATCTTTAAGGATATGAACATGTACAGCTAAGCACAACTGATTACAGTGTATGTAAGTTCCAAAATCAATCTCCACAATAGCCTACGTGTTTCCTATTGCCAAAGGGGCCCTTTAGAGTAGTGGGAGAAGATCTTCACCCTGAAACCCACAGCATCCCTTTTCAGCAGGAAGTAGGTAAGAGGATACGCCATCCCCTTTTCCTTATGAATCAGGGTGAGATCTCTCTCAGTGAGGAGTGATAGGGAAGGGCAAAGGACACACTGACAAAGGAGATTAATCAGAACTGGCTTTGACAAGCACTGTGGCAATGGGACAATTAAAAAAGACTTTCAAGGGGGGAAAAAAAGAGGAATGAACTGGAAGGGGGAGGGTAGAGAAAATAGTGCAACAAGGAATGAATGGAAACCTAAAATCTCTATAAATGTTCATTAAAATTAATAAAATTTTTTAAAAAAGACAAATACTGCAGAGTACAACTGTTGTAGAATGGAAGTGACATTGGGGTTGGGGCAGGGGGAGAGTGAGAAAGATGGGATAAATTGTGTATAATGCATTGAAACTGGTGAGGGACAGAACTGTTTAAAAGGGATCTATGATTAGGTATTCTTGTCATGACAGGAGTCCAGAATGAAGGCTGCATAGTGGATTGGACTTTGGGGAAGGGTTTGTATAACAATGAAAGAATTTTTCTTTTACTTTTGAAAGAGAAGAGCGAATTGGGGCTGGAGGGGTGGGCAGGGGGAAAAGTGCTACAAAGAATGAATGGAAATCCAAAATCTGTAAACTTTTATTGAAATTAATACAAAAAATTTCTAAAAAAAAAAAAAACACAAAACACCCCATTGCATCAGAAAAGAAAAATCTTCATTAATTCATCAAACATTTGCTCTACATCTGCAGTAATCAAAATGCTATAGAAGATACTCAGCAAGGATCAAAAAAAGACAGAGAGTGGGGAGAGCCCGTGGCCTCTGCCCTAAAAGTGTACAAGCTAGCTCACAGTACACACAGCGAGAACAAGCATGTGTTCCATGGAGCAGGCACAAGTCTGACCACTGGTACACAAACCCCACAGGACTTAGCTCTTAAATCATAATGAAAGGAAATGGCTCTTTAATTGTACTTACCCTGTGGTATAAGGGATGTTTATGCCTCCTAGATTAATACTTTCACATCCAACAATAAACAAGGTTGAAAAACACAGCAAAGACACACCGCTGCAGATCATTGCTAGTTTTGCAGATTCTCTTGCACCAAGTTTCAATTTTTTAATAATATAGCCTCCCAGGACAATGCCAACGCCAGCACTTGGGACAATAATAACACCTGGGGAGGAGAATAGAGCGAGGAGGTTATTTGTAAGACGCATAGGCAATTATTTCTCTATTCTAATGGCTTTGTTCTTCTGTACTCTTTAGGACTGAGATAAAGAATAAACACTGTAATCCATAAATATCTCGTGTGTCTGCATGTTTTATGTGATATTTCACAATTTTTATTCGAATACTTTACAGTTGAGCATTCCTTTCAATGCATACATTCAACAAAGGACACATTCAGCATATATATAAAAGTTTTACAAAGCAGTAAAACAAACAATCCATTAGAAAAATAAACAAAGGCTCAAGTAGGTCCTTCACTGAAAAGGAAATGCAGATGATCCAAAACAACAGGGAAATACAAATTAAAACTCTAATTAAAGACCACTACATACTAATTAATGTTGATAAAATTTAAAAGTCTGACTATACTACCTGGTGGCAAAGATGCAGAGCAATGAAAACACTCAACACTGCTCATGGGATATAAATTGCTACACTTAATTTGAAGAAATAGTTTGGCATTATCTATAGAGTTGAAAATATGTATGTCTTCACGTATGTATGATTAGACAATCCCACACCCTAAAAAACCCAGGCACTGTAGATAAAAAAAAAAATAAACACACTATTTAAAATTCCATGAGATCACAACATAAATAAGCCCATTACCAATAATAGATAAAAACTGTTGTCTATCAGAATTGATTAGTTGTGGTGCTGGAGAAGAGACCTGAACATACCATGGATGCCATGAAAAACAAGTAAGTCTGTCTTGGAAAGGGGGAAACCAAGTTTCTCCTTGGAGGCTAGGATTTTCAAGCTCCATCTCACGTACTTTGGGTATGTGGCTAGGAGAGACCAATACTTGGAGAAGGACATCATGCTTAGAAGGGTTGACGGACAGCATAGGAGAGAAAGACCCCAAATGAGATAGGAGAGGAAGACCCCAGGTGAGACGGATTAATACAGTAACTATGGCAATGGGGATAGGTGTATCAGAGGTAGAGACTCTCTCAGGTCAGGGCAGGCTTCTGAGCTTTTGTACATAGAGTCACTACAAGTCGCAGGTGACTTGATGGCACATAACTACAATGACAATCTACCAGGGAGCTCTGGTGGCCTAGTGGTTAGAAGCTGTACTGAAATCCTGAAGGAACACAGTTCAAGGCCACTAGCTGCTCAACAGAAAAAGAATGGGAAATCTCCTCCTAGGTGATTAACTGCTTCTGAAAAACTCCTGGATTATGGGCTATGGGTCAGAGAGCCAGCTATGGGTCAATATACAACAACGACATCAGTATAGTGAAGTATTGCTACTCAAAAGGAAGCTTTGGTGGCCTAGTGGGTAAGGAGTGGTAATGCCAATCCCAAGGCAGGTCGTTAGGATCCGCTAGCTGTTCATCTTCTCCAGATGACCAGTCTTCTTCCTTGCAATTTACAGCCTCTGAAAACCCACTGGAGGGTCAGCTATAATTCGGTTCTGACTGAATGGCAAGGAGTGAGTGACTGAATGACTATCCTCAAACCTACTGCTGTCAAGTTGGAACCAGCTCATAGCTGACCCTCTGTTAGGTTTCGGAGGTTATAAATCCCATGGGAAGGGATTGCTCATCTTTCTCCCTGGAGCCTCCAGTGGATTTGAATGACCAGAGAGGCTCAGTTTTTGGATTAGCAGGACCACTTGGTAGAGACTACACCAGCAAGAAAAATCAAGAGTTAAGCTGGATACAGTATGCAGGGAATCACACAAATATCATGTTGGATGAAAGAAACAAAGCACAACAAAATATACCTGATGTTGCTACATCAGGCAAACCTACCCTGCATTGTTTGAGGATACATATGACACAGAAAACCCAGGAATTAACCCATAAAAACCAAAGTAGTTGTGGTGTGGTGAGGATTCAGGAAGGCATACAAGGGTCTCCCAGAGTGCAGAAATATTTCACGCATGGCCTTGGTAACAGTTAAACAAGTTTCTAGTTATAATTATTCATTACCTCTAATTTGGGTTTTATGCACACATGTGTGCATATTTCACAGGAAAAAAATAAAAACCATGTTTATAGTGTATACCCAAGAACCACACAATCTGAAAGTGAGACACGCAAGTGAACAGATTATCTAGAAAGCAGTTACCATTAAATTGATACCAGTTTAATTTGACATAGCAATTCCATGTTTGTCAAAGCAGAGCTGCTCCAAAGGGCTGCCAGTGGCTGACTTTTCAGGAAATGATTATTGGGCTTTTCTTTCTGAGATGTCTCTGAATGGATTCAAACCTCTTACTTTTCTGTTGGCAGCCTGTGAGTTAACTGTTTACACTACAAGGTTCTCAAGAGACAGAAAACAATAAAATAATTAACAGAGGATAAGGAGAATGCAGTCAATGAAGGCTCTGAGTCTCCGTGACAAAAATCATAGGAGACTTCACAGAAGTGAAGGCTCAGTATTTAATCTGATGTTTGCCAGTTGACAGAATCTTTGCAACTCAAAAGATGAAGTGGAATCTCCTCAATGACTCAACACAGAGACATCATTGTACAAAAACGAAAGATGCACAGAGAGACACAAGAGAAAAGAATTGGGGACTCAGAGCAGTATGAAATATTGGGAGTTGAGAGAATTCTGTTGGGGAGTGGATGGACCTCAGAGAAGAGTAATAGGACAGATAAGACCATAAAGTATCATAGAAAGAGGATCAAGTTTAATTGGATTGGAGATTTCAGGAGTGGGAGGCCACTGAGAACAGCTAGCAGGGATTTGACCTGATGAGACATCTGTGCTACAAAGATCTCTTCCAGTAGTGATATGGGAAGTAACTTAGATAGTTTCAGAACTAGAATCAGAGACACAGATCAGGAAGGCATTTGGAAAAGTCCATAGCAAGGATGACATCAACCACAGTGAGTTAGGTAAGAAGAAAGGGAGAGAGGAAGGACCACTGGATCGTCCCAGTGGTGGTAAGACAGAGGACCCAAAGAGAGAGGAGTTGGGAGAAGGATCACAATAAAGTCCATTTTAGACTTGTTGAGTGTGAAGGGTCTGAGGCACAATCAGGTGGAAATACTTCACACTCTGGCACATGTGGTCTGAAGCTCAGGGAAGAGTGTAACATACAAATGAATTGATGGCATAGATAAGATACTCCAGCAAGACTACATAAAGGAAGAAAAAAGGAGGGGGCAAAAAGGAAGATCCTGGAGAACGTACATGTGAAGAATTATATCCAGAGGGGGGAAGTTCCAAAGTGGTGGCCACAGAAATAGGGGAGAAAAAAAAAACTTAAGAAAAACTTGGACTTCAGACAGATTTCAAATCCTCACTCCATCTTGTGCATTCATGGGATTATGGACATAAAACAACCATCTTTACTTTATCATAAGAAATGCCTCCCTTTCACATTAGGACAATGATTACAGATACTGTCTGTAAGAAGACATGGTACATAACAGGTACAAAGTTTGTCACAGCTATTCTTACTACAGGTGTGTTAAAGAAACCAAGTGTCAAATACCTCAGAGAGATTTATAAGAGAAAGATTGAAAAGAGACAACTAGGCAATTTGAGGACTTGGTAAGAGCAAGTTTAAGGTTATTTTGTAGAAAGATGTCAGAATATAGTGAGTTGAGTAATGTCTCACGATCTAAACCAAATCAAAACCTCACCAGAATCAGCGAGTTGATTCTAATTCATAGTGACCGTATAAGACAGAACAGAACTGTCCCAAGGGGCTTCCAAGGCCAGAAATCTTCACAGAAGCACACTGCCACATCTCTCACTGTGGAGCAGCTCATGGGCTAGAACTACTAACTTCAGCAGCTGAATTCTTCCACCACTGTAACATCAGGCTCCTCCACAAGAACTGAGAATTCTGACTGCTCTTTCTAGAACTCTGGTTGTGAAAGAAAGGAGGAGTATGGTTTTGAGTTACAGTGAGGCCAAGGTAGAATTTCGGTTCAGGGGTCTGTTTGTTTGCTACAATTCAGAGAACTCAAGCATGTTGATAAACTAAAATTGAACAAAATGAGAAAAGATGTTGAATATGGAGAGAAAATATTATTACTGACAAGATACCTGAGAAGTCAAGAAAATATGGATTAGCCAGGTACAGGAAAGGAGAGATCCCTTCCTGTGGCTGAGGCTGGGAACGGGATGGGCGAAAGGCAGCTGAATCATCAGATGGGTGGTAACTACACAAATGGTGGCTTTCCTATTTGCTGCTTTCTCATTGGGAGTTCTGGTAGCTAAGCTCTAAGGAGTTGTGCTGTCGAACCAAAGGGGCAGGGTTTGAATCCACCAACTTCTCTGTGAAAGAAAGACTGGCTCTCTTCCCATGTGATTCACTGCCCCCGAAAACCGCTTCTAGGGTCCCCCCTGTAGGGTCAGCTAAAGAGTGAGTTATAACTCAACAGTCCATGACAAGACTTTCCCACTATTTTGGAGAAGTAATGCATGTTGTAAGAGAACAATAGAAAGTGATAAAGCATCAAATGGTCACTGGTTACATTCTGTTCTTTCATTCCAGTCTTTCTTCTATACCTTTTGCCTTCCACAATTGATAATATGCTGTAGATTCATCATTTTAAGTGTTGGGGTTTGTGACCATGTTAGGCTTTTAGTAAAAGTTCACATGGTAAACTCATATTCCATTCAAAAATTCACAAGCGGTTCAAGCACCAGCACCGTCCCTTTTCCCTCTGCTTTCCCCAGTTCTAACACTAGAGTTTCCCTGCCCATCTTTGCTTTCTCATCTTTGCTTTTGGGAAAAATAAACCCATTTGGTCTTGTATGGCCGATTAGTCAAAGGAGCACATTACTCATAGGTGTTGTTCATTTTCTAGGCTAATCTATTACTGGGGAGCACTGGTGGTGGGATTTGAAGGACATGGCACTGCTAATCCAAAGGCTGGAAAGTGGCTTCAGGAGTTTCAGTTCCAGATTAAAAGAGTTTCTTGGGTTTCCTTAGCAACAGAAACTTAGATACTTAATAGAACCTTAACA